CAGGGCACAGGAGGGGTGGTTAGCACGCTGGCCCACACCTGTGTTTCGCACTCTTAGGTGATCTCTGGAAGGCTCCAGAAAGAAGCCTTAGAGGTTCCTGTTGAGTGTTGTGCTGAGCTCCCGGGAGGCTGGGCACAGGCTGCCTGGCCTGACCGCTCGGGGGGAAGCTGTTGAGGTGCCTGAGCCGGGGTCTGAGCCGTCAGCGGAAGCCGCCCACACAGGCCCTGTTGCCGGGCGATTCTGTTCTAGTGTTTAATCTGAAGGGGAAAAAAAGAGGAAGTAAAATTTTCCCTGGCCCTGAGCGGCACCCAGCCCCAAGAACAAGACCTCGTGGCCCTTCTGAGACGTCCGGCTGCCCTTGGGGATGTGAGGTTTTCTAGGCTGGGGCCCCAGGGCGAGGCTGGGCGGGTCCTGGCAAAGCGACCGTCCCTCACCGGCCCGGCTGTGAGGCAGGTGGGTTTTGCTGTGAAGTCCCTGCTCTTTCTTCTTTCTGCTCGGTTGCTTGTATGATAGGAGTTAGCTAAGCATCTGTCTTCTCAAATTTAAGTCCAGTCTCTCCTCATGGTTGTTTTTTGGGGGGTGGGGGAGTGATTAGGAAGTTTTTTACTCTGTCTTATACTTTCTTGAACTTTTAAGTTGGGAAGGCCAAATCTCACTTGTCCGTGGTTATTCTGCACATTGGGGCTGAATTGTACTGGGAAGAGGCCGCCCGGCACTGAGGAGGTGCTGGCTGGACGCTTCCTTCAGCATCTGTTTCTGCGTGGTAGAGGCCGTGGGGAGCCTTGTCCATACCTTCCTCTCCGCTCCCTTGTTCCTGCGTGTGCTGATGGAGCACAGCACCTCTGACATCTCCACATCGTGCCCGGCATCCTCTCGGCTCAGTCCCCCCACACCCACAGGAGGCGAGGGTGCCCCGTGGAGGGCTGTTGTGTCAGGGCCGCCGTGCTTCCGTGTGGACAGTGCTGCTGGGGGGGGGTCCCGAGGGGGGTGTGAAGGCCTGGATGTGGTCTGGGTGAGTGGGCCATCTCCTGGCAGCTTGTCGAAGTCACACACAAGCAGACACAGGCTCCAGCCTGCCCCAGGAACGTGGGACCGTGTGGTGCAGATGTCAAACCATCGGTTGCCCTGCGTGTCTGGAAAGCGCCCGTGCTGCCCACAGGCCCTGCTGCTCACGTCCTTATGCTCTTCTCCCTCCAGGTGTGGCCTTCTTGGTGGCTTTCCAGCAGAACAAGGCCCTGATTGGTGATCGGGGCCTGCTTCCCTGCAGGCTGTACCTGAGGAGTGTCCAGCAGTACTTCCAGGGCCAGGCCAGCTGGGACGCCTGGAGCTATGCTCCAACCCTCTTCTGGCTGTTAGACTGGGCGGATATGAACTTCAACTTGGACCTTTTTGCACTGCTGGGGTTGGGCATCTCAGCCTTCATCCTGGTGACCGGCTGTGCCAACATGATCCTCATGGCTGTCCTCTGGGTCCTCTACCTGTCCCTGGTCAACGTGGGACAGGTCTGGTAAGTGGAAATGGGGAGGTCTGTGATTATGGGCCTGTCAGCCGTCACCGTGAGGGTGTCATTCTCTGCAGGGCACTGCCCGGCTCTGCCGGCATGGAGAGCCAGCTTGGATGAGTGCGGGGCAGTGGCAGAGGGTGCGTGCCACTCAAGACACACCACGGGTGGAGACACGAGTCACGGGGTGGGGCGAGGAACACAGGACGGAGCCTGACCTGGAGGCTTACCCTTTCTGCCCTTCCTTGCCAGCCAATGCCAGCACAGTGTCAGGTCGTGAGTCAGATCCGGTCCTGATGGTAGGGACCAGAGGTGGTGATGGAGCATACAGAAGTCACAGAGACCGACTCTGGTCCACAGGTGGGGGTGTTGGATCTCCTGAGGACATGCAGTCGGCACCTCAGGTTGCTTAAGAAATGGGGTAGCGTCAGTATCTGTAAATGTGTGAGAAGCGGACGTGGGGTAGGTGTCCGTGTGGACGTGGGGAGAGGACATGGCTTGGTGTCCATGTGGACGTGGGGAGAGGACGTGGCTTGGTGTCTGTGTGGACATGGGGAGAGGACGTGGGGTAGGTGTCCGTGTGGACGTGGGGAGAGGACGTGGCTTGGTGTCCGTGTGGACATGGGGAGAGGACGTGGCTTGGTGT